GTGACCTTAGATAATTTAATTGTCGCAGCAAAAGGTGGCGCTACAAAGTATTAACTTAAGGGGGCTAAATAATTTTGCACTCCCAATTTTTCAGTTTTTTATTTGTTAAAAAGGTTTGAAATATCCAATAAATTTTGTTCCACTTCATAATTGTGTCCCACTTGTTGTTGATTCTTCACAAAAAATTACAGTTTTATATCTTTATGTTTGAATCCTGAAATGTGGCAAAAGGTTGAAAAGTTCAAGGGGGCCGAATACTTTCGCAAGGCACTGTATATTGCAGTTTGTGTGGTTACATCTACAGTAATAGCCTACATCTATCTATCTTTAGTCCTTGCCTAGAAGAAGGCCAGTGTTACCACCTGTGAATGAAAGTGTGTACATCTTTCTAGATCATAATAGAAATACTATATTATCGATTATGCCTCTTACTGTTGCACTGTAGGCCTACAGTATATTGCAGTTTGTGTGGTTGTAGCCAATCTACAGTAGGCTAATACATCAATCTAGATCATAATACTTTGATAAATATAGCCTACTATATTATGGATTATGCCTATATTTGTATTGTTACACTATTCTATTGCAGTTTGTGTGGTTAACCGGTGGTAATAAATCTTTGGTTCTTGCCTACAAGAAGAAGGCCGGTGTTGTCACTTGTGAAGGAAAGTGTGGTGAGTCATGATGACCACTTGTTGAATCCAAGCTGGACTGATTTCCAATTAGCCAAATTAAGTTTTCTTACAATTTCAATACTTTTTCCCCCAAAGATGCATTATCACAGAGGTTCACTACTGCATGTTTAAATTAGTGTGTAATTTCTATTAAGAGATATGAAAAATACATATAAAACCAGAAACAAAGAATGGGGCAAACTGTACCTCTCCATCCAATAGAATACTTCCTAATTTTAATAATTAAAGGTGCTGTTAAAAATATTATACCACAAATAGCATAATAACATAATCCTACAAGAAGAACTGATGGATAACAGTCTGGACATCAAAGAAAAACTAGAGATGAATTCCATCGTTTCAGACAAAAAGTGGAGACTATTATGTAGAGAGGGACATAAAACAACACTATAGCCCTACTTGGAGGGCATTTGAATCAGGGAAAAAACATTTCACACCATTTGTTTTCATTGCATCAAAATCTGGAAACATATTGAATCAGCGATGGCAGGGATGTGATCACACACATATTTTGCGACTGCCCAAAATTAGCAGAATATTGGCAAAACATACTAAATGAAATTAAAAATGTTAACATATAGAACTACCATTAGAACCATCTTGTTTCTTACTAGGAATAATACCAGAAGATGTGAAGCACAACTAGAATTCACTAAAGTAAAAAACAGAGAGCTGTCAGCTGTTAGCTGTGACTGCTACCAATGCTGCTGCAAAGTACTGCTCCATCAGCAATTTCAAATCCTTTAGCGCCACCTACAGGTTAAAGAATCAAATGCAACAGACTAATTCAGTTAAATATTAAATCAGCAATCAGTGTTGGACGGGCCCTCGCATGTGAAACGCATCAGATAGTGTTGCTCTGAATTTGGACACTGCACGAAATACTTAAATGTCACTTCCTGTGTCTTCTATGTGGTGCAAAGGAGCACCCAGTAATGATACATTATGTCCCAGTACATCATGTGTGAAACTAATTGTTAATCGCATAATGAGTGTCACACCGGGCTTACTGCCTGTTGCCAGTAGGTGGCGCTACGACTATAACTGAATTTTGGCATGTAGATGTGTTGGGGGCGGGACCAATCACATAAAGTTTGGTACAGATGTGAACATGTACACTTAACAACTTCCTGTTTTGTAGTGAATAATTGATATTCCACTCCATACCAGAGGCACCCCCGGTCGACCAAAACTCACCATTTGTAGCACGTGTATCATTGATGGGATAAGACTGTACAGCAAAAATTTGTCACACAGACTAATTCTCGAGGAGGGGTTCATTAAAGTGTGTAAATCGGCAAATGTACCAATTAAATCCAATCCTGTTGGTTGTTGACCCCTTGACGTGTGTTCAAAGTTTTCTATAACTTTTAGGCCGTCAAAAATGAGATAAATTTAGAGTTTTAGAGTCTGATAGCTTGGGGGAAAAAGCTGCTCATCCGTGCACATCCCGTGTTAGTGATGTTTCCAGTCAGGATGCTTTCTATTGCTCCCCTGTAAAAGCTGCCAAGAACTTGGCGTGGGAATTTGAAAGAAATACAGTCGTTTCTGCGCTTTCTTCACCAGCATATGAGATGTGAGATGACTGTGTCAGGTTCTCTGTGATGCTGATTCCCAGGAACCTGAAACTGTTCACCTGCTCCACCTCAGCACCGCTGATGTAGACAGGAGTGTGTAACTTTATGTCCTTCTTCCTAAACGATCAGCTCCTTAGGTTTGCTGACGTTGAGCCATAGGTCGTTCTCTGTGCATCACCACTGAAATCCGAAAACTCTACAAGAACCAACCCGTTCTCACTCCCACTCTCATCCTACATATAGACGCATGGGGATCCCTATAGTGTCATAGTTCAACACAGCGGGGCAAGCCCTGTAGCGTCAGTTTTTGACGACAAAGGACTGCATAAGGAGGTGGTTGGGGTGGATAAAGGGCCAGAACCCCGTCTTTGACCCAGTAGACCGGTGTTTGTGTCCTGTGTGAAACAAAAAGTCACCATAAATATTTTTAATTTAAGTTCTGTCAATTGCGTAAGTTTCAAGTGATAGTTAGTTAACTTACGTGTTAACTGATGTACGTAGTTATTTGAACCCAAACCATGATCTTTTCCTACCCTTAACCAAGTAGTAAGTACTTTTTGTGCCTTAACCTAGCTAAATTGACACGTTTCACAGCTTTAATAATGTGCCGTTTCAAAATGCCAATGTTTCGAAACGCTAGCGTTATTTTGAAAGTCTAACCGGATGTTTTATAATTATTGTTGTTATATTACTGAATTTTGCATATTTGTTGTTGCTAAGCATTGCTATCTCAGAGCCATAAACGTTTATAAATTACATTTAAGGAGTACCCAGGGCGTTAAAAAGCGATGCCAAAGGACCTTGACCAAGCGTCAATATGTGACGAGTCGGGAGTGAGAATGTGTTTGTCTGTACAGCCTCCTGGACCATCAGACAACAATCTCCTACCGTCACCCTTCCCCTCTATATGCATTAATCCGTCCTCTATAATCTATACATTCCACATTTGCATGAACCTCTAAATTACATATTGTTGTGGTGTGGTCCTTGCTAGTGAATCACCCGCTGTAGAGCCCTCAGGTCCTGGGCTGTTCACATGCCATGCCAGTTTCTAATGTTTACAGTCAGGATACTTGCTATTGCTCCTCTGTAAAAGGTAAGACATTTTGCCATCTGAAGTTTCCTTAAAAAATACAGTATTTTCTACAGTATTTATTTTATTTTATTTTTTCCAGTATGGAGATGTGAGATGACCGTGTCAGGACCATGTCAGATTGATGTGGTTCTCCTGGATGGCAGCAGCTCTAAACATGTGCCAGTCTGTGCACTCAAAAAAAGTCCTGTAGAGCTGCTGTAAATTCATCTGTCCACACGTTTCACCCTTTTAATTAGGTGGGAGTAATTGGGCAGGAGAAGAAGGGAAATGTTATTAATTAGCGCCTGGTGGAATGGCAAACAGCAGCAACAAAAACACTGGTGAACTTTCTAGCAGATAGTGTTGTTAAACTTGACATCTGGGTAATGTTGTCCATCAACTTTGACTACGTTTGAGCACCAAACATTATTGATGTAAACATAGACCCTCGTCTCTTTTTACAGTCTTGTGTTCTGTCGGTATGGAACACAAAGTATTTTAATGAACATGGTTTCTACAGGGTGACAGTGAAAGTATTCATTTTGGGTTAGAAATGTTTAAGAACTCAGCTGTGGAGCGATTAGGCCTTAAAATTAGTTTATATAAATATGGTTCAGCATTTCTCATACAGTGCTCCACCCATGAACTGGATCAGGAAAACTACAGTATATCAGTCCAATAGAAGTTGATTCCAATTTACTCTGGTCTTCATGATAATTACATCAACAATTAGACAATATCCCAAAGTCCACTCTTCTCGTGGGATCAATGGTCTACTGAGGCAGACTAGAGTCGCTTTAGAGGCGGATTCATGGCTAATCCACAGGGCACAGCTGTGTCAATTCTGACTGGATGGCTTCATATACCACAGGGAGCATTTCAGAAGCAGTGCATTTGCCTGCCTGATTTTTGTCTTCTACCCTGGTTAAGTACTACTACTACTACTCTGTGCAGTCAAAAATCAACTCGCTGCATATTCTCCATGGAGCATAGTGGAGATCCGCTTCTGCCACGCTTCGCCGCATCTGATGGAATCCCATGCGTTGTCTAGAATGGCTGTGATCAGCTTCGGCAGCTGCGTAGCAGCCCAGTAGAATCAAGCCTTGAAGATTTGGTTCACGAATCAAACCAATGCAAGGATCAAACATTGTTCGAGTTGGATCAGAGAGCAGTTGTGAGTAGGGCTGGGCAATAAAACAATAATGATAATTATTGCAACATAATTTTCCTCAATAACAATAAAACGAATGTTTAATTTATCGTCAATAATTTAATTAATTTGAATCATGAATGAATTAGCTCTTAATTTTTCTATTAAGATATTTATTTTGTTGAAGAAAAGGGACTGAAAAAAAGATTTACTAATCATATTTTTTGAAAAAACATGTTATCATAATAGTTTTGAATGTTCTAATGTCAGATTTGTGAAGTGATCCACTGTTTGGCAACAAGTGTTTGTCACGTTCTGACCATAAAGAATGACATCAAACTGAATTAATTCTGCATTGATACATCCTGCTGCTTTTCTCCCACTTGACACCCTATATGACTTCTATGAGCGCCTAACATCAAGCCTCATGTTGTACCATTTACACAGAATGGTTTGATTTATTGACAACACAGAGGGATCTGAATGTCATGTCTCCCCAACAGGTAAAACTGAACATGGACAATGGTCGCTCTCTGGGCCTAATGATCAGGGGTGGTGCTGAGTATGGACTGGGGATCTACATCACTGGAGTGGACCCTGGATCTGCTGCAGATGCTGGTGCACTAAAGGTACCCCAACTCAACCTTGATATCAGTCTTTAAAACATTGTTGTATTACATCTGCCCAACATGTCCAATCTAATGAAAATAGAGATATTTATGATCATTGCAAAGGATCATTACCTGAATTTATCAATACATTATTCTAAGTTTCACTTAGTCACTTAGGTCTCCACTTGGCCAAACATAGTTTGGAGTTTTCCTACATTGGTAGGTAGGTTTATTGTCACAATATAACAAGTTATATAGTGAAATTGAGTTTTGTAACTCCCTTCTGCTACATAGCAGACAATATACATTAACACAGAATCAATTATAAAAAATGGTAAACAGAAATAAAGTATAATCACTGGAGCAGTGCTGAGGATGAATTTGAGTTTTAGAGTCTGATAGCTTGGGGGAAAAAGCTGCTCCGTAGTCTGGTGGTGTGGCAGAAGAGACTTCTATATCTCTTCCCAGAATGCAGCAGGGTGAACAGGCTGTGGCTGGGTGGGTGCTGTCCTTTAGTATCCTTTGGGCTCTGCGTAGGCACCTCACCTCACCGATATGACTGATGTTCAGGAGATGGGTACCAATGATCTTCTGAGCAGTTTGAATCACCCGCTGCAGAGCCCTCTGGTCCTGGGCCGTGCACATCCCATGTTAGTGATGTTTCCAGTCAGGATGCTTTCTACAGGAACTTGGCGTGGGAATTTGGCCTTCTTAAGCTTTCTCAAGAAATCCAGTCGTTTCTGAGCTTTCTTCACCAGCGTGGAGATGTGAGACGACCATGTCAGGTTCTCTGTGATGCTGATTCCCAGGAACCTGAAACTGTTCACCTGCTCCACCTCAGCTCCACTGATGTAGACAGGAGTGTGTGTCTTTATCTCCTTCTTCCTAAAATCAACGATCAGCTCCTTAGTTTTGCTGACATTGATCCGAGCTGACTGGGGCCTGTTTGTGAGGAAGTCCAGTATCCAGTTGCAGAGTGTTGTATTTAAACCCAGAGTGCTGAGTTTGCTGATAAGTTTCATGGGGAGATCGTGTTGAATTGTGTTTGAACTCCTCAAACAGCATTCTGATGTAGGTGTTGTTTTTCTCAAGGTGTGTGAGGGCTGAGTGGAGGTCAGTGGAGATGGCGTCCTCTGTGGATGTGTTGGTTCTGAAAGCAATCATCAAACAAAACTTCAAGTAAATCTTCAGATTAATTGTCTAATCAGTACTTCCAGATGACTGAACACTGTAGAATGCGCCCTTAATTTTTTACTTAATTATATTTATAAAAAGTACAGTGTACAGTTTGGATGATAAGTATGTGTGTTGGTTTTATGAAGTTATTTAACTTAAGTTCAGGAACAGGACCACGCCTCTCTCTCTCCCTCAGTAATTCAACCACCTGTGCTTCATTCAATTCCTCCACCCATGCCTTCTTAATCCACCTGCATATAAGCTCGTCCAACTCCTTTCAGTCTCGTTTGTCTCAGTTCTCACGACCGTCCATTTAGACTCAGACGCACACTCTCAAGTTACTCAAAAGTACTTATTGCTCACCTTAACATGGATCACGAGCTGGTTCTCAGCCCCTCCGATCACTATCTGTACGACGATTAGTCCGTGGTCTCTGAATTTCCTCTGCCCATAGTTACATCCACTCCAACGCGGCCAGCCACTCATTCACTATGACTGCGCTTCGTCACCAAGTTCCTCAGCACCGCATCGTCCACTATTCCCCATCCAGCAGCTCTAGTCTGACTCCACCGAAAACACACACACAGGCCACAGCTGCCACCGCCGGCTTTTGGGAGAAGTTCGCTCTTCTAGACGCTGGACTTGCGACCGGCCACACACTCCAGACAGTCCACTCACTTCTGCATTCCGCCAACCGCCAACTACAGCTTCAGCCCTCAAAGAGGGTGAGGTCGTGTCACCCCCTGTGCCTGATTCCCTTGGGTCTGATTTTTTCCAGTTTGTTTCACCTTTTCGCCCATCCATGTCTCAGCAGGCTGCACACCCTACCCCTGCACAAATATCCCTCCATACCAGCATCATTACTTCTTCCCTTCCTTTAGCTACAGCTAACATAGCTCCTTCGGCTCCCCCCACCAGCCGCCCATTTCGCCACAGCCACAACAAGCCACAGCGTTTCATGTCATAGACCCACTCCATTTGCTCCTGTTCTTTCCATCATGTCATGTCCATTCACCAGCCCCCATCTCTTTCTCTTACATCGACCACATAATGCGACCCAAAGACATCAACTTACACACTAATGCAGCCCCCTCTACTGGCTTCAGCGGCTACTATGGAGGCAGATGGTTCACCGCTAAGTGGGCACCAGAACTGTTCTTACTCTCCTCCTCCTCCGCCCTTTACAAACCATAATAATCATCGCTGCCATTCTTTGGGGGCATGAGTGGTCCAAAAGTCATTCTGGTACACACAGACAACCACACCGCCGTTGACATCGAAAACCAAGCTCGCTCCCACCCACTCGACATGAAGTTCATCCGCAGACAGACATTAATCCCCACCCAACACCAATTCATCATCCGTGCCGTTGGTCTTCCCATGCCTACCTTAGCTACGTCCACAACAACCTCAGCAACGTTCAAAGAGCCCATCTCCATTAAGTCTAGTAACTAATTTTGGGGGTTGATAAGCAAGCTCAAGATGAGCCTGGCAACCAAACCCTAAACAGCCATCTTCATTCCTCCGTTCTCGACCCATTCATCCCTTTCCCCTCTATCCCTCCCTCATAAATACTCCTCATTATCCAAATAAACTACCTTTTTATACCTCACGTTGGCGCGGTCTTTGTTAGTGAAATTAAGTTATATAACTAAAGTTCAGAAACAGGACCACACCTCTCTCTCACTAATTCAACCACCTGCATTTCATTCAATTCCTCTTCCTCGTGCCTTCCTAATCCAATCACCTGCATATACGTATATAAGCTCGTCCAAACACTTTCTCTGTCATTTGTCTCAGTTCTCACATCCTCTCACAAAGGGTGAAGAATCTGGCCATGAAGAGCAATGCTGTGCACGTTTATGCGCGAGGCACAGCAGCATAACTTCATAGATCATTTAAATATCCGTACTCCAACAGAATCAGTGAGGATCTAATCAGTTATTATTAATTATGGTTCTGTGTTCGTATAAACATCCAAAAGTGTTCATATAAGAGTTGGGTTATGAGTTAGAGTAAAGCAGCCATCCTCCTGATCAATCAGAAGCTAAAAGTTTAATTATTTTTTCTGTGGAGAGTTTTCTCTGTGCAGTTTATAACTACAGCTTTTAGTCTTGCTGCTTAAATGTCCCACGACATTTGGAAATGTTTAAAATGACAGCAGCCTCTCTAATCGTTAAAGTCAATATTTAAAGGAAACACTCATACATCAGTGCAAAACACAATAAAGAAATCACCTGGTACTCTCACACTCTCTCTCTTGCTTGTCCACATGACAACCCCCCCGCGAATACCTGCTGCCTGATTCTGATGAACCTGTTAACATTCTTGCTGTCTGCTCCCTATTAGACTGCTAAACCTATTAGGATTGTTAACATATGCTACTTGACTTACAGCCTCACTCAGGCAGCTGACTTCACTGTCAGGACAGCCCTGTAAAAATGCTTTATTAGCCATGCTAAATCTCTGCTGTGTGCTTTTAGGTCAGCTTTCTGCCCCAACAAGCAGGCCACTCCAACTCTGTGCTATTTTTCAACGTGCCTCAGGCAAGAAGAACAGATGCCAGTGTTTCCTACCTGTAAACAATCTGGCTGAAACCTCAATATGGCTTTCATAATAATACAGTGTCCTACTTGGGGATAAAAATAAAACATCAGATGTTGGTGAAAGAGAGAGTTTAAAAAAGCAGAGCTTGAAAGGCCTTCTGAAAATTCAAATGTCCATTGAAAGATGCAGTGTGCATGTTCTCAGTTTCTTTGACAAGGACAGATGAAGAGGTACTTTTTACCATGGAGGACTGGCTGATCATGCTGCAGAACTGGAACTTTTGACATGCTAAAAAAGACAATTTGAAAGTGGAAAAAATAAGAGTGCAGAGAGGGTGAAAGAGAGGAGGCACTCATGAGAAAAAACACAGTGGATGTTTTCTCTTCCCCTTTCCAAGTCTGACAGATGTGCTGTCTGCAGCCATTTATTGTTAGTGATCTACTATCCATCTTTACAGTCTTTATAATATATGTGTATGAATGTATATCATTTCCTGGAAAACCATCCCTCCCTCCCTGTCTGCCAGTGTTGTTGCAGTAAATAAGATGGAGGGTTGGCTGGACAATGCAGCAGGTGATCATCACATGGCTACAAATGTCAGACATTATACATTTAAATATGTCTAATACTAACTAGCCTACTATTAAGGGTAGTACATGCCTTAAGGATTTTCAATGATGGAAGTGAAGTGAGTTGAAAAACTTTCATTTGATGAACATATGTAATGTTTAAAAAGTGATACAATAGTACTACCATATTGTAAAGATTGTTTCACTTTAATAATTATGTTAATTTTAGCAAAGAAAAAGAACATCTAAATTGCACAACACTTATGTATTCATTTGATAAATTCAGTGGTTTGTTCTCTTATCTTGTCTTTCACATGTAACTATTAATTGTTAATTGTTTGTACACAGGATGCGCTCAAGAAAAGTATATCATTGCTTCATCCCTGGGCATGTTTTAAAAAACACCATCTGTTCACCAGAGCCTGGAAACTCCCATAGCGCTGTTACTAAGCATTTTATCTGAAAATGTCTGTTGTTGTGCCGTGTATAGTCAGTCCTGTAAAGTGTCCTTGGGTTTCATGAAAGGCGCTACATAAATTTAGGTTAATATTATTATTGAATTGTATTCACAATTTTGAACCATTTATTTTGTGTTGGCAGTTTTGCCTTGTACCATCTTAAAGGTACAAGGTACAAGGTAGGTTTAATGGTCACATTACTACAGGGTTGTAAAATTAAATATGGTTTATAACTCCCTTCTGCTACATAGCAAACAATATTCAGTAC